CTCAAGAGATCTAGGCACGCTTATGTATATGATCGTTCCAGAAATATTGAGCACATAGAGAGTAATTATTCCATAGACGCAGAACATGCAGATAACAATTGTGGATAGAATGTAACGTGATCTCGAAGCCTCGAAAGTCGAATCGTTGATCTTGTATGGAAATATTCCAAGAATGCGGCAGAATGTGAAGCAGGGATACATCAAGGATTGAAAGTCCGTAGCGTAAAATAATCGCCACCCGTTTCGCATGTTGTTGTTTACTCGTTTCTGGAATTTTAATGACAAAATGGAATATAAGCAGCAAAGTTTCGTTGTAGAACGATAATTTAAATATACACAGTTTAAAAATTATCTATCACATTATCAATACTTTGTTATTAGTGCGAGCGTAATTACAAAAATTTGTTCCGTAAATGTAACTTTTAAATTCGTCTTCTAACAGCGATTGCGTAACTCCTTCTTTCGATCTACACATAACAAGCTTAACATGAAAACTGCGAGCAGTTGCTGCGTCGAGTAGCGGGGAATGCATCAAATATAATATGTTAGTCGTGAAGTAACCATGGCGTACTTCGATCTGTACTTGTCACTCGGAACATTGAAGTGAAATACGTAAAGAAATTATATCTTGTTGCTGCAACGTACCAACCATACATCAAATCATGTTGACACATTCAAAACAGGTGGCATTAATTGCATAATATTTATATAAATTAGTTCCTCTTGAAAATTTATCAATAGCTGTTCCGCATTCTACATTTTTATTGCACCTACAAAATGTTTCAGAATGCTTTTTGTACCACTTTGAAATTTAATATTTGTAACTGTATAGAGATACTCGCGCGCGTTTGTATTACAGTAATTTTTAGTAAAAGAAGCATTAATATACATCAATGCAATCAAAAGTGTGCTATTATTTATATTCGATTTTCTAATTTAATATAGAGTTAATCGAAATGGCAAATTATTTTCTTGAGTGTATTAAAATATAATACACCAAACTATCAATTTTTACGTGTTGTTACTGACTAATGTGCTGTTAAATTATGCTACGTATATTTTGAAAAGCACTACTATTGCAGTGGGAGACAAAAAGCTAACGGATGTAATATTAATAAATTAAGTCATAATGTCAAAGCAATGATATTATCTCAATTAGACTTATTCTAACTAATTAGCTAGATGAAGATAAATTGATATACATATTTCTGATGAAATTAGCTAGTATGACATATTTTACAAGAAAATATCTCAACGTAATTGCTTTTTTTGTATTTCAACAACAACATAAGGAAATAAAATAAAAAATATGTTAACTCATTACAGTAATCATATTACGCTGCTCATTATATTAGCTAGTATGACATACTTTACAAGAAAATATCTCAAAGTAATTGCTTTTTTGTATTTCAACAACAACATAAGGAAATAAAAGAAAAAAATGTTAACTCATTGCAGTAATCATATTACGCTGCTCAAGGAAGATTTAAGTTAATTACCTACTCTTGTTAAATGAAACTTAAACCTTCAATATGCTGTATGAGATGTTCTCACAAAAGACATATCACAACTATTCAGAACTGATTTGATTCCTATTGAAATATGTGGTTTTATTCTCATACAAGATCAAACATAAAAATATAAGCAACACATATTTTTGAACATTACCTTGTATTAGTTATCTGATATTTGCATTAATTTTTGTGCAAGGGAGCAGTTGAAATATTGAATTGTTTGAGATATGTAATGAGTGAAACAGATATCTTAGAAATTTATTACGTCTTTACGCGATACATTTAAATATGTAAAAAAACATTCAAGATTTATTCTAAATTTGATATTAATACTATATGTTGATATTAATATTTACTGTTAATATAAAGTGTTTTAATACACGTATGATAACGTTTTGTCTACGTACATGTATATATGTACATATACGAATAACGTCTACAAATAAAAAAATAGTTCTCTTTCATTATTTCCTTTTACGGGATTACATTATTCGTGTAACATTGATTGCAGATTTTTCATCGCAGGAATGTGATATGACCAAGAATTGTAGCAAAATTAATATATATGTAGTGATGGTACCCACCAACTAAAAACACAAAAAAAAAATAAACATGATAAATTTTATTAATTGAATCAAATAATTGATTACTCACTGTAGCGAGAAATGGTGCGTCCACATTAATACCTTTTGCAGAAAATGTATTTTTACAATGCAATATTTGCAAAGAAAATAACTGCAACTATAATGTAAAATTGTTAAATACAGGAAAATATAATTATACTCAAATAGATATAATATATAAAACCTCATTAGCGAATGCAATATGTTAGAAGAAAAATATTCTAAATAAATTGCATTTCCATTACCTCATTTTTTATTTGTTTATCTCTGCTGATGTTAAGTACATCGTGAATCGTGGTACGAATCTCTTGAGCCTGATTTTTGCCAGTCTCACAACTCCACACAAGTAACCCTATTTTTGTAAAATAATACATTGTGCCTGACAATATCACACCGACCTCTTTATTTAAATTGATGAACAATCCATCGTATTTATTATACTGCACTACATTGAAGTACAGTAAATCAAAAATAATTTCAGAAAAGGTTAAGACTATCGTAGCAAGAAGTTGCGCACTGAAAATTGTGTTCAGCATCTGTACTGTGTTGCTAATCATGAGATGTTGCTTTTTCAGAGCCTTAAGGTTCATTATCAGGAATATATTTCTGTGTTCGTAAAACATTATGGGAACACGTGGTTCATTGTTTACTATGAATTTTTGCATATGTAGAAGATTATTGTTAATTTCCTTGAAACAAGCCTTCAATATACAAACACAGTTCATGTACAGCATGTCCATCGTAAACACTAGTAGAACTGTGTACACTGTAAACATTATATTGAAGACACCGTTGTGCATTACGTAGAAATATATAAAAAGTGTGCCGATAAGATAGAAGAGACCAAAGATATCTTTGGCGTGAATTAATCTGGATAACTTCTGGTACGACTCCGGAGGCAGTGTCGAAGAGATCTCCATTATAGTTTGGAGCAATCGCATTCGCGGACTGCTCAAAACAAACGTGACGATTGTTATAAAACTGACCAATATATCATAGCAGTTATCGTCAAGAGACTTGGTCACGACTTCAAAGTTTGTGATCTTCATAAAAATATTAGATTGATAAAGGTCTCTCAGATCGATAACACATAAAGCGGATACAATTATAATCGATAAGACATAATGTGGTTTTGAAGCCTGGAAGATCGAATCGTTGATCTTGTACGGGAATATTCCAAGAATGCGGCAGAATGTGAAGCAAGGATACATCAAGGATTGAAAGTCCGTAGCGTAGAAGAGCCGCCATTCTTTTCGCATATTGTTGTTTGCTTGTTTCCGGAATTTTAACGACAAAACTGATTATGAGTTTTACTAGAGAACAATAATTTAAATATACACAGTATAACAGTTATTTATCACATTATCAATATGATAACACTTTGTTAACGATGTAAGCGTAATTACGAAAATTTCTTTTCTAAGCGTAGTTTTGAAATTCGTCTTTTAACAGCGATTGCGCAACTCCTTTTCCATCTACACGTAACAAGTTTAACTTGAAAACTGTGAGCAGTTGCTGCGTCAAGTAGCGGGGAGTGCCTCAAAGAACATATGTTAGTAATGGCGTTCTTCGATGTATACTTGTTACTAGAAACACTATGTTGTTTTTGATATTTATTTATTGAATTAATATGGAACTAATTTTTGCGAATTATTCTTGAGTGTATTAAAATATAATACACCAAACTCTCAATTTTTGCATAATACTTCAATAACGTGCTATTAAATTATGCTGCGGTATATTTTGAGTAACTCTGAGATATTGCAGTGAAGAACGAAAAGCTAATGTTAATAAATTAAGTCAATAATAATGCAAAAGCAATAACATTATCTTAATTAGACTTAATCTAACTAATTATCTTGATGAAAATGAATTGATATATTTTTGATGAGAAATTAGTTAATGTGACACACGTTATCGATAAGAAAATATCTGGAAGCAGTACTTTTTTGTATTTTAACAGCAACACAAGGAAATAGAAGATCGAAGAAATGTTATCATTACAGTAATCACATTACATATTACTTATAAGGAAAATTTAAAGCAAATTATTATCGAAATATTCTTTATTCTCGACTACCTGGCAAATTATAATTATGTGCACTACGTTTCGGCTCTAGGTTTAAGCCCTTCTCAAGTGCGGTTTGAAATTTGGGAACATCGTGTTGTATAAAACAATAAATAAATAAAAAACAAAAAATAGTCATTAAAACTAGAGAGCAATACATCTACTCGACTCGTCATACGTAGTCAGAGACATCCTTGTGTTATGCGAATGTTCCAGCATGGTCATAAGCACAACTGCAGGAAATTAATTACATAAAGCATCAATATGTGGAGAGAGAATGCAACAATCGATTCTTACGTGTCTCATATATCCGAAATCCACAGTTATACATATCCAGTTAGAGAATCTCCGGTGTGCGATGTCGTGCGAGTGGAAGTACTCAGGAGACTAAACGTTGACAAAGGGAGCAGAATCAAGGGGTCAGAAAGGTTGCCGCGAGGAATAATAAAATATAAACAATTAAACAGACGATTGAGATGACGCCATCATATATAGCGTCTACATTCTCAAATTATTGTCATTGGTAAATGAAACTCAAACGAGTACCTCCAATATGCTACATGAGATGTTCTCACAAAACACATATCACAACTGTTCAGAACTAATTCTCTTTAAAATATAAAATATTTTTTTCTCATACCAGATCAAATATAAAAATATCAGCAACATATATTTTTGAACATTACCTTGTATTAATTTTCCGATATTTGCATTAAGTTTTTTAAATTTTAATGCAAGGGAGTAGTTGAAATGTTGAATTGTTTGAGGTATTTAATAAGTAAAACAGATATCTTTCTTAGAAATTTATTACGTCTTTCGTACGCGATACATTTTAAATACGTAAAAAAAAAAACATTCAAGATTTATTTTAAATTTGATATATTAATACTGTTTGTTGATATTAATATTAACTGTTAATATTAATATTAAGTTGATTTAGTGTTCTAATAGACGTATGATAACGTTTTGTCTACGTACACGCATACATGTATATATGTATACGAATAATGTCTACAAATGTAAAAAAGTTTTCTTTGATTATTTTTTTTTTATGGAATTACATTATTCGTGTACCATTGATTGCAGACTTTTCATCGCAGGCTTGTGATATGACCAAGAATTGTAGCAAAATTAACATATATGTAGTGATGGCACCCACCAACTAAAGACACAATGAAAAGAAATAAACATGATAAATTTCATTAATTAAAGCAAACGATTGAGTATTTACCGTAGCGAGAAACGTTGCGTCCACATTAAGACCTTTGGCAGAAAATGTATTTTTGCAATGCAATATTTGCAACGAAAATAACTGCAACTATAATGTAAGATTAAATACAGGAAAATGTAATTATACTTAAATAGATTTAATGTATAAAACCGCATTAGCGCATGCAATATGTAATTATAAGAAAAATATTCAAAATGAGTTGCATTTCCACTACCTCATTTTTTATTTGCTCATCTCTGCTGATGATAAGTACATCGTGAATCGTGGTACGGATCTCTTGAGCTTGATTCTTGCCAGTCTCGCAAGTCCACACAAGTAACGCCATTTTTGTTACGTAATATATTGTTTCTAAGAATATCAAACCGATCTCTTCATCCAAATTGATGAAAAATCCATCATATCTATTATACTGCACTACATGGAAGTACAGTCCAAAAATAATTTCAGCGAAGATTATAACTATAGTAGCAAGAAGTTGCAAACTGAAAATTGTGTTCAGCATCTGTACTGTGTTGCTAACCATGAGATGTTGCTTTTTCAGAGCCTTAAGGTTCATTATCAGGAATGCATTTCTTTGCCCGTAGCAGAACATCATGGGAAGTATGGGAACACATGGTTCATTGTTTACTATGAATGCTTGCATATGTAGAAGATTATTGTTAATTTCCTTGAAACAAGCCTTCAATGTACAAACACAGTTCATGTACAGCATATCCATTGTAAACACTACTAGAACTGTGTACACTTCAAATATTATATAGGAGATGCCGACTTCTGCCATGTAGAAAAGTATATAAAATGCAAAAAGCTTGCCGATAAGATAGAAGAGACCAAAGATATCCTTAGCGTAAATTAATCTGGATAACTTTTGGTATAACTCCGGAGGCAGAGTTGAAGAGATCTCCATTATGGTTTGGAGCAATCGCATTCGCGGGCTGCTCAAAACATGCGTGATAATTACAATGAAACCGCTGAATGTATAGAAAGTTAAAACTTCAAAATTTGTGGTTACGTCTTCAAAAGTGTTTCCCTTAGAAATCATATCATGAATAAATTTCACGTCTAATACACAGAAGACACACATAATTACGGTCGACAGAATGTAACGTGGTTTTGAAGTCTCGATAGTCGAAGCGTTGATCTTGTACGGAAATGTTCCAAGAATGCGGCAGAATGTAAAGCAGGGATACATCAAGGATTGAAAGTCCGTAGCGTAGAATAGCTGCCATTTTTTTCGCATATTGTTGTTTGCTCGTTTTTGGAATTTTAATGATAGAACTAAATACGAGCTTTATTGGAGAACAATAATTTACATATACAGTATATACACCGTATAAAAATTATTTATCACATTATCAGCATGATAACACTTTTTTAACGATGTAAGCGTGATTACGAAAATTTCTTCTCTAAGCGTATTTTTGAAATTCGTCTTTTAACAGCGATTGCGCAACTTTTTTTCCATCTACACGTAACAAGTTTAACTTGAAAACTGTGAGTTGCTGCGTCGAGTAGCGTGGAATGCCTTAAAAAACATATATTAGTCATGAAGTAACCATGACATTCTTCGATCTGTACTTGTCACTCGGAACATTGAAGTGAAGTACATAAAGAAATTACATCTTTTTGCTGCAATTTGATGTATGTACCAACCATACATCAAATCATGTTGACACATTCAAAATAGAAGACATCAATTGCATAATATGTATATAAATTAATAACTTAAAGATTTACTAATAACTAATTTTGTATTGCACATTTTTATTGTGCATATGAGACATTTAAGACAGCTTTTTGTACCACTTTGAGATTTAATATTTGCAACTGTACAGAGATACTTGCGCGCACGTGTATCGCAGTAATTTTCAATCAAAAGAAAAGAATACCAATATGTACATAATACCAATATGCATCAACTCAGTTGAGAGTGTGTTGTCATTAATACCCATATACTTTTTGAATTTAATACGTATATAGTTAATGATAATTGCAAATTATTTTCTCGATAGTATTAAAATATAATACATCAAATTTTTCTTAATTTTTGCATGATGTTATTCACTAACGTGCTATTAAATTATGCTACGTATATTTTGAAAAACTGTGCTACTGCAGACAAAAAGCTAACGGATGTAATATTCATAAATTAAGTCATAATGTAAAGGCAATGATATTATCTCACTTAGACTTATTCTAATTAGCTAGATGAAGATAAATTGATATATTTCCGATGAAATTAGCTAATATGACATACTTCACAAGAAAATATCTCAAAGTAATTGTTTTCTTTTTGTATTTCAACATAAGGAAATAGAAGATTAAAAAATATTCTCATTACAGTAATTAAATTACGTTGGTCGTTGCAGTAATCACATTACATTTCTAAAGGATAATTTAAGCAAATTATTACTGGTAAATGAAACTCAAACGAGTACTCTCAATATGCTATATGAGATGTTCTCATAAAACGCATATCGTAACTATTCAGAACTAATTTGTTTCTCTTTGAAATATGTTGTTCAACATAAAAAATATAAGAGATATATATAAAAGATTTCTTATACATGCTCACTATGCGATTTAAGAGATGAAACAACACCTTCAGATATCTAAAAAATGTTTTAAGCAAATTTTTTTTACGGCGTTATGTATTTACAATTATGTATCTAGATTTTCCAAGAATGTAATATTTTTTAAAATATTCTTATTTTTGTCATTATTTTTGTAAAGTTAAAAAATTTTTTTAATACATTTTTTTTCAAAAATTATTTAAACTGGAGACATATACGTGATGTAGACATTTGGTATTGGTATCAGTTTGTAAATTAAGGCTATATTCTTTTGTAATTAAATGTGGGCTATCTCTGAAATTAAAAACGTGTAGGTGAAAATTTTTCTTTGTCAAAAATTTTGATATTTATAAGTTGGTGTATTTCTACGGATCGTAACGATATTCTGAAATTAGAAATAGTTCTTAACTGTCTTACAGTTTGTCTCAAATTTAAGTTGCATCTATATCGCCGCAGAAAATTTTATAAACAATATTTATATTAAATTGGACAGGAAGAATGTTTTCTTGTGATTTGATAAAGTTTTCGAGTTTATTAAAATTGAAATGAAGCACATCAACATTTCTATATCTGGTTCACATTATTAAATTTTTCTGAGATACCGGGTACATACGGTATTATAAACTAGGACATTTTACTGTATTATCGGTAGTGATCACGGTGCTGTTTTGTTTGTATGTTTGTTTCCCGAGAGGGAATTTCAGCTTCTTTTTGATTGTATCAAAAACGAAGACAACGAGAAGTCATGATCTAAAATTTTTCCTTGATTATGTCCTTTTATGGAATTACATTATTTATGTACTGTTCATTGCAGATTTTTCATCACAAGATTGTGATATGATCAAGAATTGTAGCACAATTAACAAATATGTAGTAATGGTGCCCGCCATCTAAAAACACAATGAAAATAATAAACATGTAAACAATAATAAATTTCATTAATTCAAGAAAACGCTCGATTACTCACTGTAGCGAGAAATGGTGCGTCCACATTAAGACCTTTGGCAGAAAATGTATTTTCGCAATGCA